TCAAGTTCAAATTCATATCATTTTCATTTTCACAACGTACAAAACGTTTGGCGCTGATTTTATTGCTTGAATTATAATGAAGAAAAGACGTAAAACGTTTAATATTTCAATACGACAGTTTTAGCATAATTTTCTCTTTCATTATTGTATCTGTTGATTTGGTGAAACTCATTTAGTATTGACAACTTGAAATAAAATGATGTATTTATATTTTGCAATTTTGGAATTTTTTAGAAATTATTTACTGCTAGCAAAGAGTTTCTAGCCCTTATTAATTTAGACATGATTATACGTGCTTGATAAGTATGTAAAATGTAAATACTTAAGCAAATATCCCATTTTACTTCTGCTTGATATCAAGCAGGCCAGACTGACTAAAACCGGCTAAATTTTCAAAATATACTAGCAAATTAAATATAATTGATTCAACATTTCAATATATCATTGAATAAATAAAAACTTTAAAATAATTTTTTTATCTACAATCTATTTGCTAGGAAGCAGTTCAATAATTGTTTTGGTTTTTTAACTTAAGTTTGTTACAAGTCCTTTCGAATTGAGACATGATTTTATATATGTAATTGATTAGTATATTGATACTTAAGTAAATATCTCATATTACTACTGATAGATATCAAGCTGGCCAGAAGTATTGGATACTGATTTAAAATATTATTTTTTAATTACAATCTGTCTGCTGGGAGGGAGTTCAGTAATTGTTTTGTTATTTTAACTTATGTCTGTTGCATAGTCCTTTGAATTTTAACATGTTTCTGTTAAAAGTCCTTTCGAAATGTGATTAGTATTTTTTGATTTTTAATCAACCTGAAAAGCAAGTTTTATCCGAAATCGTTCAGAATTATAATCTTAAGTAAAAATCTCATTTAACTACTGCTCGATATCAAGCTGGCCAGAAGCATTGGCTGTTGATCGTATTATGAGACTACAACCGGCTTAACTTTCAAAATATACTAGTAAATTAAATATAATTGATCATAACTTAACATCTCAATATATCAACGAATGAATAAAAACTTGAAAATATTTTTTTAAATTAAAATCTGTCTGCAGTAATTGTTCTGTTGTTTTAACATGTGTCTTTTACAAGTCCTTTCGAATTGTGACATGTTTTTACATACGTCATTAGTATTTTTTGACTTTTTATCATTTCTGGAGCAATGAACCCGAAAAGCAAGTTTTATCCGATCTCATTTAGAATTACAATCTTAAGTAACAATTTTATAATTTTGCTGCTCGATATCAAGCTGTTTAGGAACGTTGGCAACTTACAACCGGCTTAATTTTTTTTTTTAAATATACTAGCAAATTAAATATAATTGATTACAATTCAACATCTCAATAGAATACTAACGAATGAATAAAAACTTTAAAATATTTTTTTTAAATTACAATCTGTCTGCTAGGAAGACAGTAATTGTTTTGTTCTTTTTACACAAGTTTCTTATAAATCCTTTCGAATTGTGACAAGTTTTTACACACTTGATTAGTATTTTTTGATTATTTAAGATTTTTGGAGCAATTATAATCTTAGACAAAATTTTTATACTACCGCTGCTTGATATCAAGGTGGACAGAAACATTGACTATTGATTTGCGTTCTTATTATAAGACTACAACCGGCTTAATTTTCAAACTAGCGGTGCATGGCAACGTGCCTTAAGGAAAATTGCTGGAACGTCCTGTATATGGCATTATTTCTCCTTTTTTTTGATCTCCAAAACCGCTAGACCTGCCTCTCCAAAAATTGCATCAGTTCTTGATTTCGTCAATACAAACAAAATATTTTTAAACCATTCAAATCGCTTCGTTCTCTTAAAAATTTAATTAACATTTTTGGATGTTTTTGCCCCGTATCTTCGAAACGGCTGAACCTGCCTTTGCGATAAACTAATCAGCACGTCTCCTTATCAATAGGAATCGAATGTTTTTTTGATTATTAAAATTAGTTGATCTTTGTTTTCGAAATCGTCGACGAAAAATTGTATCCGCACATACATAAAACAACGCGCGCGCGCACGCACTCAAACATAAACACCCACATATATCCATTTTTTAAGGTATGCCAAAATGATCAGACACCTTTGAAACGTAAAGAAATATAAAAATTTTCATTTTCAACTGGTTAATGGGTTTTCGATTTTCGATTTTCGATTAATCAAATATATTTTATAATAAATTCAATTAATATATATATATATATATATATATATATTTTACTTAAAGTTACGTTTATTATATGCTCAATTGAATTTAATTGATCAAAATGAAACTGGATGATCTTTCAGAATTTTAATTATTACAGAGTAAATTACATTTATCATCAAAATTGCTGAAAATTTCTTCATGAAGCTAGATTGTAATTTACAAACAAAAAAAAGAAAATGCATATTTTCAAACACAGTCGTTTTTTATTTTCTTACTAGATGATGCTGTTTACTAAATGTACTAAACTTTGTTTTTGCGAGCAAAATTCTTTCTCAAATTTTTCGCTCTTGAGGTAGACATTGATTTGTCCTATTTTTTCGAATTCTCTTTCGTTTGTTTTAATTTTAGCGTATTTTTATTTGTGTATCATTTAATCGAATTCAACATAGCTGACACAGCGCGTATTGAGATTGTCCGCCGTCTGGATTCCTGAGCCTAAGTTGAAATTAGTTCTTACGTTATGATGGACTTTCGCCAAAAGTCTGGGCTAAATTTGTCGCAACAAGTGTCCACTTGTCGTTGCCATCATATTTACTACCTACTGATTCGATAATATCTTTCAGCAAAATCGAAGTTAATCAACACATTTATCAACTGAAACGGTCTGAAGCCGGATGGAAATGATTTATATCGAGATTGAAATATTAAATTGAAACACGATTCAATTGAACCTAAAACCGGCGTAGGTGCATATCTAATTAAATAAATGTTCAATGTTACGCAGGATACTAGTTCAATATTAATATTAGTCATAAGAGGAATATATTTCTTTGGTATCCTAATTATTTTGGCACTATATAGAACAAATGTAAATCCCATGAAAGCTTATTTTTGCTTTTCCTAATGTGGAATATTGATTTGCTGATACATGTTTGTTAATTGGTATTAACAATGCTGTTGTTGTGTGTTTCAAAAATACTTAATTTTTCATTTTCCGGTAAGTTATAGCAAAAAAGTAATCGCAAGTAGGGTAAGTAATCGCAAAAAAGCGAATATGAAAAATTTTGCATATCTTTACGTTTCAGAGTTTTCTGAAAATTTTGGCATACATTAGGAAAAAATTGTTTGTATGTGTGTGTGTATATGTATGCGTGTAGTATATATGTATGTGCGGATACAATTTTTTGCCGACGTTTTCGAGAGTGCGAATGAATCAATTTGAATGATTCAGAAAACGTATAGACATAAAAAAGAACTGATAAAATTTTTGGAAAGGCAAATCCAGCGGTTTCAGGGATCCGATAAAAAACGTACTAAAAATGCCATTAGTCGGTCAAAAATGATCTTTAGACATATGCACATAAAATTGTCAGATTTTAATAATAAGTATAAATTTTGTTTACATTTCTATGGGTTTCGTACCAATGTTTATTTGTAAGATTCAATATTTCATCTCTAAAACAGCTACGCAATGCAATCGCTTCGAAAAAAAAGTTCTAAAGTTTTTCAAACAAAATCAAAATATACCTAAAAGATCGTCATTTTTTTTCTAAATTCTCAAAACTCTATTTTTTTTTCAAAGTTTTCAAAAGTTTTATTAAAAATTGAATTTTTGGGACGAGAAGTACCAGCAATTTGCCTTAAGAGTGATGCCATGCACCACTAGTTTTTGTAAATTATCTTACCAAATTCAAATGGCTGAATAATAAAAAACGAGCCAAATTTAAAAAAATATATTTTACTATGTAAAGGAGAGCATCACAAGCATTAATTGCTTAAAATTTTCATAAAATATAAAATTTGGGCTTGGATCAATGCTCCTAGCAATATTTTTTTGGAGTTTTGTATATCTTGTGAAATTGTTTATAGTCTATAATTCTAATAGAATTTGACAAATTGATGTCATGGTAAGACTATGATGACAATTTAGAAATCTATAATATTTGCAATCAATGTCAGATTTAGTAATAAACAACATGCATAGAGCTTAATTTAAGCATAATTCAAGAGCATCCAAAAATAATTTATTATCACATGTATACGTCTTATGAAATATTGAATGACATGGTAAGCATGGTGATACGTTAACTTTACTTGTTATTTTATATAAAAGCTCAACAAAATCAAATAAATATAATTAGATTCACATTGGCAAAATGTAAAGGTTAACTTAATAAGATGAAAATTAAATTTCATCTTCATGACTTTCACAAACCATTATAATACCTATTCAGTAGTTAACGTTTTACATACAATTTTGAATTAAATTTACATAAAAAGGTAAAATATTTTCAGCAACATCAAGTGGATTTTTATTTCGGATTGGTATTTTCCCTACAGTTAAGATCATCCAATTTTATTTAATTTCAATTTTTATTTATTAACTATAATTCAGTTATAATAGTAGTCATCTATAATATCATTCTTAATTTTTTAATTGTGGTCAAGGTTTCTACGATAAAATTATCCACTACCATCTGGCAATAATAGTAGACTTGTGAAAACGTCCAAATTGTTCGAGTTCATAGCACATGAGCGCGCAACAAGTAGTACACGTGCTTTTATAAATAAATTTAATAGTGAAGTATTAGCTGCCAATAGAGTAAAAGGTTGTTGGCAAAGTATACAGGTAAATTTAGATATAATACACTTAATTAAAAGTACTATTTCATAAATTTAATTTACGCACAGTATATGTGAGACAGGAGCCATAGTCTTGTTTTACTGCTCATTTGCTTAGCTATCACTTATCATTAACAAGTTAATTAAAGTCAATTATTGATAATCAGAATCGGACAAAAGTCCATGATGCAAAACTGGAATTTTTATTGCACAAAATCTTAGTCAAGTTCTTGTATTTGGGTATGTAGTTGGACCAGAAACTAAACTGCAATACTCATATAAAAATGGACAAGAGAATAAAATTACTATATAGGTTAAAGGGTTTGGATTATAGGAAAGTCACTAACCAATTTGGACGTATGGTATTTAACTTTGGGAATATGCAACTAAACGATCATCAAAAAATATAAAATTGATCACTCCAGCAGCCTGGTACCTATCAAACAAAGTTATATAGAGCAATTTAAAAGTGCACTCAGTTAAGAAATTTATGATAACTAGAATATTATATCGACAAGTACTAAAATTAATAATTATACTCTCAAACTACAACATATTACTCTTTTCTATAACTCAACTAAAAAATAAATTTTATCTATTTAGTTAGAAGTATTAACTAGATAAAGAACAAATAGACTAACAAGATAAAAATAAAATTGATTTACCAGACTTATCTGGTAGTTTAATGTTTTATAAGACAGATGATATGGGGAACATTATACTAAAATATGATTTGATACTGGATACATAGAACTACATAACATTATATTAACAACTTTCATTTTATTCGATAAGCAATTTTCAAACGTATATCTCAAACTTTATTTTTTGTCTGTACATCTACTTATAAAGAATCGTATACTCATAAGTACCCTGCAAAGTACCTTAATTGTCTAACGCAAGCGTTTTAATTATAATGATTATGTATCTAATCGTCTTATCCATAATTAGATTTTAACATGATACCGTGATACAAATGAGTACTACGCAATGTTAAAAGCATTGAGGTGTTAGCATTGAATTTTGTTCAGAAGCAAAATAAATTAGATAATGCAAATTGGCCTATTCATATTAAATAAATAATATTTACATTCATTACATTTTTTTACAGAAACAGTGAACGATAGCAATGAAAAAATATGACTTCAATAAGTGTCCTATTAGAGTGACCGACTGCCCCAACTTTTTTATTGTCTTGTATGAAGAAACATTGGCATGTTTCAAGTAAGTCTATTTTTGATGCTTAAAAATATATAATATATATTATAAATATAATTACATTGGATGATAATGATAATGTTAATATTTAATGTTAATGGTGTATAACGATCTCTAAATTTCATATTTCAATACCCGGAACAAAATAATTTTCAAAACACGAACGCTGTAGGGTGTTGTTCTCTTAAGCGCTCGTTAAAAAGTTTAATCTAAAATTAACAAGATTATACAGAACAATTTTTTCCATATTCAAGTATTTTTCACAAAGTTGTAAATATTGTTTCAACCATCGATTTATATCAGCTATCATTAGGGCGGATCAACTAATATGGAACCGAAAAAATACATGGCACTTTGCATTTTTCACTTTCAATGGTAAGCTATGGTTTCTTCTGCGAAATTTCTTAACTTACCTACCCTAACGTAAATGTTTTATAGTAGTGGATTTTTGATAAAAAGAACTAATATAGAATGCCTGATGCAACAATGATATTAAAGCAAATCAATCGATATCGTTTGATTGAATAAAGAGGCATATTTTCTCTAAAATAAAAGGATAAAAACTAATTTAAAAATAAATCTATATTTACTATAGTTCACAGCTTGTTTGTGATACAATGAAGTATATATTTTGGCAAACACCTAGTAGTAATAGGCGCCAAACAAAAGCGATTCAATGGCTAAAAATAAAATTTAGATGAAGTCTAACTGACAGTATATTATAGAAATGCTCAACGTACATTATTTATAGATGTTATTAAAGAATGAATTTTTTTTATGAATTACGAGGATAATTTACAAAATACTGGTCTTACACAAACAACTAGATATACCGAAGAGAAGTATACCTGATAATTTAAATATTTTATGGCATATAATAAAAACACAATATCAAATAGGTTTATTATATTGAGTAAATAAATATATTAAATTTTAATAAAACAGATATAATTGAATTGTACTTACCGCCAGTGGCGTTCTCTGGTGGAACTAAAATAGTCCTGAACTGAAAAATATAATAAAAAATTAATCGATTGCTATACAGTGTCCATGTTCATAAAATTTATTGAAAAGAAAATATTTCTCTAAAACATCCTTAACTATTATATTACGTATTCTAAACGTTTTTCACGCGTGTATCAAATATCCTATTAATTTACATAAGTTTGTGTATCTAAAAACACTCATTAATTAATGCCATGACCTAATTAGTCAGAAATTTATCATGATTGCCCTTCAAATATATCTCAAACAATTCCTTTGTGATCTACTTGTGCACATAAATAACTCTTAGCGACGTCACATCTACAATTACATAGTTTAGAGATTAATTTGATATCAGGCTGATACTTCATGATACATAAAATTTCAACATATTTCAATTACATAGAAATAAAGACGTGTTTCTATTATCTTTTCTATTATATTTTTATAGATGATATAAATTGATTTTCGCCTAAAACTTGAATGTATTACATCTTTGTGATCACGCATGAATTAGATTTTCATTAATTAAAATGCCCAAATTTCAAATTAATTTTTGTATCAATATTCCCAACATCAAATCTTTTTCACTTGATCATGAAATCTTTTTAAAGTGAAGTAAAATTTTATTATTAATGATATATTTACCTGACTAATTGTGGCTTGCACAATATTTGGCGGGAACATGTTCCTGAAATACACAAAAACATCTGTTATAAATATATAGAATTAATAAGTTCATGAACAAAAATATTTGGTGGTATATTAATTTACGTGCATAAAAACTGCACATATTATGAAAATACATAATTATAAATAAAATGGTAGATAGTAAATATGTAGTATCAAAATATAAATTTTAAATATCAACTAATATTTTTTTTTAACCTTACTGAGATTAAAACTACATTATTAGATTCTTGAGTTTTGATTCCAAGAACCGAAAGTTGTTAAATAGAATTTACTAACAAATTATTTTCTAACACTTCAAGGATTTTATAATAATATTGTATTTCCACTTCTCTATTAAAAAGCAAATATTAATTCAAATTCCTTAAATATTTTACATTAAATATTTCTTTTAACCTTACTGAGATTAAAACTACATTATAAGATTAGAATTTTGATTCGAAGAACCGAAAGTTTTTTAGAATTTATTACTGACAAACTATTTTCTAACACTTCAAGGATTTTATAATAATATTGTATTTCCACTTGTCTATTAAAATGCAAATATTAATTCAAATTCCTTTACAGTAATTTACAAGAAATTCATTTTAGATGTGAAAAATGACAAAAATGAAATTTTGAAATCTAAAAATATTTTAGTTTTATTACTGAGGAAAGTCTAGCATGTCATCAGCTCTTCAAACACTTGTGCTGAATTCTAAAAATTATGACAAAAGGTGCAATATAAATATTGGTACATGTGTCTTTCCTTATCAATTTTGATTAGTCAACTGATGATGCTTTATAAATATAAGTTTATACAAAGTCTATATAATTTTAGAAAATTTATAAAAATTAACATAATTGAAAAATCTATAACAATTATTATAGATATGTAAATAATTTATAAGAAAGTTTTTTGTTCTAAATTTAGATATAATTTGTTTATATTCTTAAAAGTCGAGACAGTGTACGATAGTGACAGTGGTCATAAGAGCTAAACTATACTTATTTTCAGATAGGGTCTACAGGGAGAAAGATGTAGTATGATTGTTCAAACAAGTTTACATTATTGCTTTCAGTTAGTGTCCTACATTACATCTAGCTTTCAAATGTCTAGCTTTTAAAGAGTCAAAAGTAAGTTTTCATATTCGAATTCTCTTAATAACAACTTGATTGTATACAGATAAATCGCATTGATTGTTATTTTGCTGTAAGTTGAACATTAGCAGTTATTTACCAGCAATTACGTTTTGCTTAGATTTTAGCTGAGTCATAATAATGATTTGTTTTCAAAAGTGTACGTTGGGTACGGTTGTGACATGTATATCTTGTCCTTTTCGGGTGAAGTTTAAGCAGATAAGAAAAATGTAACTTTTAATTAAAATAAAATAAAATAGAAAGATAAAGGAAAAGAAAAGTTCAATATAAAAAAAAGATTTTACGAAGAATTATTTTTAACTTCGTTTAAACAATTTACGAGGTCTGTTCAAAAAGTTTTCGTAATTTTCGTTTTTTCAAAAAAATATTTATTTATTCGTCTACATTAATGTGGTTCCCTTCAAAGTAGTCCCCCCCAGATATAATACACTTATGCCAGCGTTTTTTCCAATTTTCGAAGCACCCTTGATATTCACTTTTTGATATGTCCTTGAGCACTCTCAGCGATTTTCTTCAATCGAGGAAAACCGCCGTCCTTTCATGGGTCTCTTCAACTTTGGGAATAGGAAAAAGTCACACGGAGCCATATCTGGTGAATTTTTGCACTTTGCAACACTTTATTTCATTTTTTACGCAAAATTTAATACAAATTCTTTGACTTTTTCAATTCTTCCATTGTAAAAATCGCCGAGCTCAGAAAAACACGTCGAACCTTAGCGACTACCACAGACAAAGTAAACAGTGAATATAGCTGAAAATTTCATCATACTTTAGGGGCATGTATACCAACACAATAAAAAAAAATTTTGACAATCAGACACTCCAGACCCGCGAAATTTAATTATTAGTAATTCCGGGTACTTTTTGAACAGATCATGTATGTTTTGTTATATAATATTATATTTTATTCATGAACTTTGTTTAAATGTTTGTTGTATTCTGTTACAGCTTATTGTTATTAACGACAATAAAAGTCGTTGTAAACCTTTTTGGTGTTTATATCTATTACTTTTAACTCATTTTTACGCCTGTCACAATTGTCCCTGGGGGTGTAAACAGTCTTTCCAATTTAAGTATCTAATATTACCTAACGTAAATGTTCACTTAATGTAATTTGAAGGTTATATCGAAATTTTAAATTTTGTGTTACTGGTACTGAACTTTGATCATCGAAATAAATTGTCATTAATCAGAATTGTCTTAATAAAACGCTTAAATGCTTTATTCTTAAGATTAATGATGAAATTCTTCTAGTTTTCTCTGTACCAAAATACATAAAATTAGTCTATTCCCTTTATAAATTTATTAATATTGTTATTGGAACATTATTGTTCTCTGGAATGTAACTATAAATTCTGGTTCTATATCGAAATTAGAAACTTTCTACTGTCAAATCTAGAATTATATTATTTTAACAGAAATACCTGTTAAAACTATTGTTATTAATCAGATTTCAGTAAATTATACAGATTAATGGGATAATTCTGCTGCAAAATAGGTCAATGTTATGGCAAGGCTATGCTACACTGTGTTTTTTCATATAAAATTGTACTGAAAACTGTCAAAATGCTAAGCATTTGTTGTGTGATCAGGCTTTTTACACATAAAATCTAACTTTTTGCGGATATTATTATGCCACATCAGAAAGTTGCACTTATGATAACATTCTTTTCTGACGTTTTCTAGGTTAGCTATTATATCTACAACGCCTGACTGCACAGCAAACACATGGCATTTTGACAGTTTTTAGTATCATTTCATATGAAAACGCAAAGAACATAACATTGGTATATTTTGCGGCGGAATTGGCCCATAAATTTTCAAAAATCATATAGGCTTTGCTTGAGATTAATGATGAGTCATTTCTTTCCTTCTTTCCACGGCATATATCTATAATCAGTTTATTCATTCTATGAATACATAGAAAACCCTCTAAGGACATTCATGTTCGCTGATATGTAATCTAAATCCTGGATCTATATCGAAATTCGAAATTCTAAATTTTGTACTATCGGTACGGAATCCACTTAATTCATTTCCCCGGAACGGATATACTTGTCTTCTATTATTCAGCTTCCTGAATTGCTTCTAGTTGGGGGATTTGCTCCATTGATGTTGGACCCAATTCACACGTTAAACGAATCATGTCCTGTTATCTGTATGTGCACGCATACAGGGACGGATCGGAATTAATTTTCAGTAAATTTTTGGTAAGGTAGGTCTAAGACGCTCTTAGATATCAGTAATAAAATATTATATGTGTTCATTTGATTCATAATGAATAAGCAAAAAAAATTGAGCGAAAATTTAACTTTTGCAATTATTTTACTTTTGTTATATGAAACTGAATTCTAGCTGTGACCGCAAATAATAGTTAACAAAAGGATTATACTTAATTAATGTAACAGGAACAGTCAAAACAAGATCTTATAAAACTTGAAAGAACTTTACCTTGTTTAATAACTTCAAAATGTATTAATGTATAATCAGTTTTGAACTGATAAATTGGTTTTTACAAATAACTTTAGTTCACAGTAACTATTTCAAGTCGCTTGATGAATAATTTAGATTTATTTAGAAATATTTATTATGTTATGTACCTTTACCATCAAATGCATTCTCAATTTTTAAAAGTAACGAGGGAACAACTTCAATATGATAGGGAAAACAATGTCAATTATATCGGATATTTACTTTTTTTTAAATAGAATCAATTACCTATTGCATTAGGAGTTAAATATTTTTGAATTGATTTTGCATAAGAATGATGAAATTCAAATTTTCAATTTCAAATTTTTGCCATGTTTTTACGCTCTAAGTTTTAGTTTAGAGTCTTAACTAAAGCATCCTACTAATATTTTGCTAAATGATAACGACATATTCAATATCGCTATGTATCTGAACAGCTTCCTTACAAGAATATAAAATATATAAACAGCCTAAAATACTCTACAAAATATAATTTAAAAGAGTAGTTTTAATATATGTTCTATTGGTTTAATAATTTAAAATTAATCTTTTAGCAATTGACTCTCTAGAAACGGGCTAAAAAGCATAATCGCATCGTATTTTGAAACAATTATGTATGATACTATTTTCTTTTTGAAAAACTACTGAACAACATCCTAATTAGTCAAAAAATAAGAATTTAAAATTTTCCAGCATAAGATAATTGACTTCTAAATGTTAACTTCAAATTTCTGTCAATTTACACATATGTTTAAATAAAAATATAATTAATAATTATAAAAGTAACCAACGTGGATGATTAGACAGATATTGATTGCTATCAAATCAGGAATTGTGAAAAAAAAATATTGTGATACAATTTGTCTGATCTTGAAAAATATTCCGAAATAGATAAGAAACGATAAGTTGAATTGCAATGATAAATTTTATGTAATTAATATATTTAAATTTGATTAGAGGGCCTTCATATCGGAGTTTTTTCATTATAAGAAGTTTCATTTCTATTTTAAGAATTTATATAATAGGCATGACTTTTTATTTAATTTGGTGTAGCAATACCCGCAAAGAGCTATTTTCACTTGGATATATATTTAAAATGTTACTCATATCTAAAATTGATATTGCTACTGCTCGAAATCAAGGTTGTCTGTTGGGTTACCATATAAAAATACGACGTAAGGAGAAGTTTCAGCCAAACAACTCATAGGACATAAGGTTCTGATTGCTGTTAAAATATGATAACAAAAATTATAATGATAATACGGTGAAGAATAAATATTTTTTGGGGCTTTTAAATAATTTAGATGTAATGAAGATAATATTTTCGTACTAGAGGTACGTGATTCTTTTGTTAGGTATTTTTTTCCGAAATTTTAAATGATCAGTAAATATGTACTATTACTGATGGTCAAAAATTATATTTTAAATATTTTTCATATTTTTAAATATTTTCAATTTCATAAGAATAATAATACACTATATCTCTAGGTTCTAGAGATACTTGATATTTTTGCTAAAGATTGTATACAATTATTTTTCCGAATTTTTAAATAGTCACTATTATGGATTATTATTAGTGTTGATAAATATTGTCCACATAAATAACTCTTTTTTTTTTGAATAATTGTTATAACATGAAAATAATATTTATAAAATAGGGATACTACATACTTTGCTAAAAATTCTGGATAATTATTTTTCCGAAATTTTAAATGACCAGTAATAATATGATTACTGATAAGATATGATAAATTAATAGTGAAAAATTATACCTAACACATGATAGGCAATAAGGTTAAAAAATATGATATAACAAAATTGATTAGGTACTAACGATCTCATTATCATAATATTGTTAATAGACGATTTGGCCTAATCATTATATTTTTATATTATTATTACTTTACAATTGATGAATAATTTGATTGAATCGAACGCGATTTTAAAATGGAATATACCATATAATGTATATACTATATACTATAATTTATGCATATGTTAATAAATCAATAATACATTTTAATTATAATCAGGAAACTATATAAAATCTTGATGCATTCCATTCTCTAAAAACTTGTATTACAACATTAGCTCTTGCTCTTGCCGAAAACCGTCCAAAAATGTCATTAGTTTTACAAGGTTTTATTTGTTTTCCATTCGGTGCCGGTCGTTGTATATTATTTGCTCAGACTGTTCATGTACCTGTGATGCAAGTATTTGATAATACAAATATTTTAACAGAAGTTACATTACGTTTGTGTGCTATTTCAATTCAATCATTTATGTCATTTCGCTACTTAATACTATGATTGTAAGAGGATGCCGCGTTGCATAGGAGAGGAGCGACATTTATGACCATTGTAAGTTCCTCTATTTTTAGACTTTTGATTTAGTTCCACGTCAGAGAACATCTTCGAATGCAAAATTATTGTTCCGAAATTATAGAACTATTTTTTAATCATATCACTGGCAATCGTCCTTGCATTCAACTATATAAAATACTCGTACATATGTGCATTCATCAAACTTACATGCACGTGCGCGTTTGAAATCCTTAAAAGTTTATCAGATTTTGTTATAAAATCAGAAATACATTCATAAATAACTTTATCATTTTGGAGCCAAGGGTATACAAGTTTTGAGCGCGAAATTAGTATTCATATTCATAACTCCCTTTGTAATTATGTAAAATAATAAGATCAGAAGTGAGGAAATCTTTGGAAATAAATCTAATCTTAGCGATATAATATATTCGATTTCTTTTTCATATAAACACAAAATGATATTACTCAGATTGGTAGTGATTTTACTTTATTTCACAAATTTTAGAAGATTTTTCTCAGTATTCGTTGACAGTAGAGAAGTTGCAAAACAATTTTATTTATAGTAAAAAAGTTGCAAATCAAGAGTAGAGTAAGTTCAAAAATTTCTGTGTCTGTTTTTTTATTTCGAGTAATTATATATTTATTATTAATTTCATTTTATTCTGTTTTTTACTTTTCCTAAACCGTCTATAAATCTATCAATGAATATACGCATATAGATTTATCGTCGACGTTGGTATTGTAGGCATATATAAATATTAAACATAACTCTATAAATTGTATTTACAATTTGAACATGAACGATAATCAACTAATCAATATAAAAACAAACAAATAACCTGAATTACAAATAAAAATATTTTGGGAATTATTCTTATGTTATTATAATTAGTTATTAATTATTACTATTCATTCAATATCATTATACTAAAATCAAAACAAAAGTTACGACATTTTAAAAATTGAATTAGGTTTGATGAATGGATCTTTTTAAGTGCACTTAAAAAATTAATAAAACTTGAATTAATAAGAAGTCAAATTTTCCTCCTCTATATTATGAATACATAGGGTTTCTGTTTAGGCACTAATTTTTCAGTTATTAAATTAACTGACTATTTTATATTCATCGTATTTAAATTGAATTACTATTATCATCATACCATATCATCGTCTTTAAAATAAAATTTATAAATATAAATTTTGAAAAAATAAATGAAAGATTTTACAAACGATTGCTAAGATTTAATGATTACTTTTAACGAGAAATTAAGAGATTTTTTCAATGGGCTATCAATACAATATCATTATTTATTGTTTCCAATAAATATAATTATAGTAGTATAGTCTATAATAAAACTGTATTTTTGTAACTAATGAAATTTTCTTAAAATAATATACCTTTCGTGAAGCGGACAACATTACGTGAAATTTCAATTTGAACTGCGCTCATGCAGATTTTGTAATTTATTTAAGTAAACTTTGTAATTAGTTTAAGTATTTAGGGACATTTAACCCTCACGGAATCATCGCCCTTTGTCGAAAGCAAAAATTGATTATTCATCTTGCGAATTGAGTCTATAAAAAATATAGCGTTTTCTGATTGAAAGATGATCATTTGCTTTGGATACTATAAAAATTCAAAGTAGAATTGTAACTTATATAAATGCTTTACTCTTAATTATATATATTTATCATAATTTATTATTATATTATTTATTTTTATACGCTCAAAATTCGATTGAAGAACATATAAATTTTTACGGGACTTAAAATGATATTAAGTATTGAAAAATTAAAAATTCATTTAAGTTCTGTTTATCTTGATTAAAAATATGCGAGTTTTTTTCTTGAAAAGCACTAGTTTGTATTTAATTAGTGTCTGATGTTTGTAATTAGGAATGTGACTTCTCGACCATTCAAGTCCTTGACCCGTAATATCTTCGGTTTATCAACACTAATTGCTAGAGATTAAAAATGTGTCTGTATTTTATGACAATCAATCAATATATTTCACAAATTTTCCATTTCTTTTATTTACATCAAATTTTGAAAGTTTATAAATCAGTATCTAGTTGACAGCTTTAATTGTAAATTTTGCTGTACTTTAATTTTACACTCAACATCAGGATTGAAAATAACCTTTTATGTATGGATATTTATATAACCACTTACTTTTTTTAATTTTTACTAAATACCTTCAACAATATTTTTTTAATAAAATGACATTGTACTTGTGTAATTAAGTCAAATGGTTTATTATATGACGTTCTATATTGAAATCTCAGTAAATATATCGGAAAAAACAAAATTGAATTGTTTCTCCATATTTATTTTAGAAGTTTGTTATGATATTGCAAAAATCACATATGATTGAAAATTAACTGCAACAATATTCAAATAGTTGATAGGACCTAATACATATATTTATTGTTGGATTTATTTATATTTTAATTTGAATATATATTTTTTGAATTTACTAAATGAACATTAATTTGGAAACACTTATTAAAAATAAAAAATCAAAATTTGATAATGGTAATTAGACGCTATATTTTAGACGAGCAGTGTTTTCAGATTTCTTCCTCATTCGATAACAATTTAAAAGTTCTAGATATCGTAATCGTTATTTTGAACAATATTGAATTTATATTATTTTAAATTCAATTTTTGTCTTGACTGAATAAATACGTATATTTTTACCTGACTAAATCCATGAGCGTGTCGCTGGTCAGTACATTCCTGGTGGCAGCTGCCCCAATACCTGTCGCCGTAGCAGTGGCTCCCACTCCCGGCCTGACCGTGACCACTAAAACTATACCCAACGCCACTGCGCACAGTGTCGTCGTCATGTAATACACTATTGCCCTGAAAATAGTTAAATTGATAGAAATATTGTATTCTTTGAAAATACCAAATTGAAATTGTAATAAATTAATTTTACATAGAAATATTCTCTGCAAACCTGTTTTTGAATGATAAATACAAAGATATCTTGTCTTTACAAAATATAATAGTTTATTATAACGTGTACATAATTTATGTGAAATACTTCATACTATGGTTTAAAATTTAAATAAGGGAATTTTTAGGTTGGAATCTAAGTGCAATTTTCAGCATAGATGGTTTCAATTGAATTTTTTGGTTTGCTTACATAGTCCAAATGTTAAATACCTGTTGTTAATGTATATTAGTGTTAGTTTCGATGTGCATATAGAAAAAGTTTTTTTTATTTGTTGCGTAGTATTCGTGTGGCGTTCATTGAAAATGGATAATCGAATTGAAAATTCTTGTCATATTTTGCTTTTTTATTTCTGGAAAGGTAAAGACGCATCGTAATCTCACAGAAAATTATGAGCTGTTTATGGTGATAAAAGTCTTAAAAAAGGCAGTGTAAAATTTCTATGTTAAATTTCGTTCTAGAGATGATTTACTCAAAGTTAAAAATTGTTCTGGTCGTTCAGTTCGAGTTGATTAAAAATGAATTGTCTACTTTGAACTCTTTTTACCGAGTGAATGGTCAATTCTGATGCTCACATTAAACAACTAACGAAATTAAATGACACCAGGACATCATACTGTCCTGACCTTGCACATTATTGTTAGTATTACTTTTTGTTTCAATCTTACTAAAACTAAGAATGGCAAACATTTCAATGATTATGATGTACCTGTTTTTTCTAATAAAAACTAAAGTTTTTTGAACGTGAGATGATGATTCTACTTGAAAGATCGCAAAAAGATCATTGATCTAAATTGACAATTCAATACAAAATAAAGTTATTCAGTTTCATAATACAAATGTCTCTGATTTTCGAACAAAACTTCGCAATTACTTAGTTGCCAAACCTGATAGTTTGGATTTAGTTTGACCAATAATATTATTATCAATGAATGAAAATATATTTTTACTTTTAAATCCTAAAACTTGTATTTGCAATATAAATCAAGAAAGCTTGAAAAAATGTTAAGGAATTTGATAACAATTTTTTAATAATTTTTTTTCTAAATTTTTCTCTATTGTTTTAATTTTTGTTTTAATTTCTGCAAAACTCTGTGAATGATATGAAAAATATTAAATGTAAAGTTTTATTGAACTCTTGGTAGATGTATGAGATTCGTCTAAATAATTTGAAAAAAATATCTAGTATTTATGAACCACTGAATAAATCCTTCATAAATGTTTTAATCCGCCTACAATTTATGAAAAGGGATTTCATTATTTAATTGACAATATTATTTTAATTTGTTAGACAAATTATTTGAATTTGTTAGACAAAATTAATCGACGCACTTAATTTGTTATAACCTTCGATTGATTTTATTTACGAAATACTGAATAAATCCTTCATGAATGTTGTAATCCGCCTATAATTTATGAACAGTGATTTCATTGTTTATAAGACAATATTATTTTAATTTTTTAAGCAAATTATTTTAATTTGTTAGACAAAATTAATTGACGCACTTAATTTGTTAAAACCTTCGAATGATTTTATTATGTTTATGATTACAATATATATTATGATCATATATTATGAATATTGCTTTGCCAAACATAAATTTAAACATTTTTTACCCATATTTCGATGGCATATGCATATCACTATGTTTTTAAGTAGCACAATTACTATTATCCCTCGTTAGTCAGTAAAACGTACGAGATCGCTCCACCGTTCTTGACTTTTGAAAGTATCCGATTCACGGGATTATCCTTGGATAATAAGATTTATAACAAGGAAAATTTCATTTTGATATTACACTCTACCTATAAGGATATATTAGAACTATTTAACGGTTTTAATGAACTAGTAATAAGTGTGTGTTTTTATGGACAATTAATACCTACTATAACGAACAATTGAAACTGATAATGTTCAGTATGATTTTTTTACATTTAGGAGTAGTAGTAATTAATTATTGTGTACAGAAAAAGCTATGCATATTTATTCATTAATAATTTGAATTACTACGAGAGTCTTAAATTGTTATTAAATACCAATACCTAAAATTTATGAATTATCATTGTGTATAGTTTACCTTGTGGCGATCCTTCCTGACATGGAAAGATCCAGCGCTCCGATGGCCGATGTTATACTAGCTACCAACAATGGTACGATTAAACATTTGAGCATCCTCAAGAATAGATCCCCGGGATATTGCAGGTACATAACTTCGCGTTCCGTCCATTTGTCTGTATTGTTCCTAAGGATTATACCAATGAGAGTTCCTCCCAATACACCCACTACTGTTAATATCGTCAGCAGGTTCGAACGTAGAAATTGCTTGACGCGTTCCATGACACTCGTGTGGGACCGCTCGTAGTCCCCGGCCATCCTTGGGAAACCGGGGAAATATAATTATTAATTAATTAACGAGGAAATTTAGTACACATGTAAAAATTTACTTAAAAATATAATTCCAAACAAGGATGTTTGTCATTCTTTCGGTACTCATTTTTTTGACTCATCAATATAAATTAAATCACTTTTATGCTCATTTCAAAATATTTTTCATTTTGAGTCGCTTGGTTGTAATTTCAGAAATGCCAAACTTTCTAATAGAGAAATAGAAAAGAAAAATGCTAGTCCAATATAAATGCTCAATAATATATGAAAATATATAATTCGGAATAGATACGAAACAAACGGATAAACCATTTTTAATAAAATAAATTAAACACCAAAATTTTACAAAAACTATAAATATGAAAATAAAATGATAAATCAATTTAGTATGTAAACTGAATCGGTCATTCTATTAGCCGAATTATGAAACTTAAAAGGATAACAGATAATATTGTGAAAACTTGTTTTACGAAGTTTGCATTGGGCAATGATCCATCAAGCTTCATTGTTTTTTAAACATATTTACATTCTATAATTCCTATTCTATACTTCATTATTAAAAAAAATACAAAGACACAAAAAAGGTTTTAATCATTTTGTTTTGATCTTTTTGGTATGAATTGCTGAATTACGATACCTAATATGTAAATAACTATGAAATAAATGAGTGGATTATAGAACAAAATATTAAAAATGTTAAGAAATTAGAAAGTTTTAAGAAAAAGTTACTGAAAAAAAAACAGAATTAATTAATTACAAAATTGGTTTCTTCGTCTGAAATGAAATTTATAAAATCACTTTTTTGATAAAATCTTTTTTAGTGAAAAAGTTTTAGTGTAAAATCAATCATCGAGGTAATTAATTCTGTTTTTTAAGTAACCTTCTCTTAAAACTTTCTAATTTTTTAACATTTTCAATATTTTGCTATATAATCCACACATTTATTTTTATCATTTTCATTTTGGTTATACTGTCAGTAAGTACTGTACTTAAGTAATGTACTTATACTTCAGTACTATACTTCTGTACATTACTTTTTTTACAATTTTATTCATTTTATATAAAAAAAATCCATCGTCTTCTGCTTTTCTGAAACACATTTTTTGCTTAAATCTTATCAAGATCATATTTTTTGACAGAGGTCTAGAAAATGGAACGTACCTAGTTCCGAAACGTCGACAGTAATAAATAAAGAATATATATATATGTGTGTGTTGATCTAACTTTGCTTTCATTCATCCAATGAGAATCATATCACAAAATATAATACAATTACAGAATAACTCTCTGCCATCTATTCATAATTAAGAATACCAATTTGCACGATATTCATATTCAATTAACCAATTTTTATATGTCAATGCATTTATTATTTTAATTACTCCTATTGTTTCCATTTCATAATAAATTAATTTATTTCAGCACTATTCAGTTTCAAATTAGTATTCATGTATCACCCTAAAGAAATAATTTAATTTACAGCATAGGTGTTAGCGTGTAATGCGTGATAATAATTTAAAATATGTCATCTATTTTTGTATAAATAAAAGCTTCTCGTACGTATTACAACACCCATAACATTTTTTATGCGTCTCCATTATCATAAAGAAAAACATCTAAGATTTTTCGCAATATTCTGTCGCAAAAATTAAATTTACGCCTTGACAAATTACATAAATGAAACGTTTCACAAGGAACGTCGAATTAAATTTCATTTTGCATCTTTTATCGTCTATAAATTTTTTTGTTGAGTTCATGCGTCAGTAAGTAATCCCTCTGATAAAGATTTTCTTGTAATTTGCCTTAGAAATCCAAAAGAAAATATTTCTTTGTTGTTAGAAACTACCAATAGTGGACGTAGCAAGAGCAAGGCCCTATACAAATAAACTGAAAGATTTATTAAGCTTTACTTGTGCAAATACTTGATATTGGATTCAGAAACTACTTATAGAAATAGTTATTGATATATATATATATATATATATATATTTTTGAATAGTCTTGAATTTGATGTTGATATATATGTTTAATTTGAGTTTAATATTCGGGCGTAACATCAATAAAAATATATTTTTATTGATGTTACGCCCGAATATTAAACTCAAATTAAACATATATATATATATATATATATATATATATATATATATATAAATTTAAAATTGATTTTTTCCTTAATATGATTTTTATGTCTTTCATTCAAAGAAAATTTTATATTATTAAAACTGGTATATATTTTTTAAAAAAAGTGAGTTTATTCTCACACAAACACAGCATAAATTGCAAATACAATAGTGGACGTAGCAAGAGCAAGGCCCTATACAAATAAACTGAAAGATTTATTAAGCTTTACTTGTGCAAATACTTGATATTGGATTCAGAAACTACTTATAGAAATAGTTATTGATATATATATATATATATATTTTTTTGAATAGTCTTGAATTTGATGTTGATATATATGTTTAATTTGAGTTTAATATTCGGGCGTAACATCAATAAAAATATATTTTTATTGATGTTACGCCCGAATATTAAACTCAAATTAAACATATATATATATATATATATATATATAAATTTAAAATTGATTTTTTCCTTAATATGATTTTTATGTCTTTCATTCAAAGAAAATTTTATATTATTAAAACTGGTATATATTTTTTAAAAAAAGTGAGTTTATTCTCACACAAACACAGCATAAATTGCAAATACACGGAAAAGACCTATGAAAAATATAATTAATATAACTAAATTTTTATGCAAAATAAAATAAAAGACCTATGAAAAATATAATTAATATAACTAAATTTTTATGCAAAATCATTCGATTTTCATTCTATAAATTTGAGAGAACCATCTCTTATCACATAGCTAGATGATTTTATTAACTGACGAGTATATACGAAGATCAACATTTAATATTTTTTTAGTTTAGATATTTTTATGAAGTATTATACAGTTTTTATAAAGAAGTATGTTAGTCTGAGTTATTGTCTACAATGTACAATGTGTTCTACATGTACTAATTTTTTAAAAAATTAAACAAAAATCCTGATATACAACTTGTTATTCCAACATTATTAAGAAGTTTTTAGAGAAACAAATCAGTGTCAATATAATTTTTAAACTAATTTCGATAACGTTCTTCTGCTCTGCATTTATAAACAATTTTGTTTCTTACGTTAAAAATTTACTATTTCAAAACATTATATTTTTTATCACGAAAGAATCGTTACTAATAATTAAAAAAGTTTTGATCGATCAAACTGTGCTGTTCAATGAACTCTATATAAATGAAAAATCTATCTCAAAGCTACGCTTTTTTATTAAACTAGAGTTAATATTGGATGATCGTTTAATTGACATTTAACTATAATACGGCATTATTGGCAAACTTATCAATATTCACTTAATGGCAATATTGAGCTTCAAGTTTATTTAGAATCAAATGAAGCGCTTAAAATCCAAATGTACAAGCATACAGAAATGTATAATCAACATGACTAACTCAGATTAGATTACTTCATAAGGTACTCTATTTAGATTTCACTATTTTCGTGAAATAGCGTATAAATATATTCAACTCAAAAGAAATCTAAAAAATGCGCCAAGAAAGCAAAAGTGTCATTATGTATTCATATTCATATTCATATTCATATCTTATTATGAAAATAATTATAATATATTAAATATACTAAACTTAAAACAAAGTATTGCCATTTAAATCTATTATATTATTATTATATTATTATTACTATATTAAATATTACATTTGAATATCTCAGTAAAGTGTGAAAAATTTAGTCCTTGTTCTTGTCATACTGTAATATTTGTCTATATATTAATAATAGAAGAAAATTAAGACTTCATTAGGAACATTAATTTATGAAGTATTGATATTATTTACAACATGCTGCTAAAAAACACATAAAATTCTATTCATATGTAAACATCATAGTAATTATTAAAATAAAATCAACGCTATTGAAACATTATTACTATTTTATAATAATAATAATAATAATAAGTAGTGCATATGGCATCGTGCCTTAAGGCAAATTGCTGAAACTTTTTGGACCGCAATTGTAAGCTTTAAAATTTTTAGAAATCTTTGAAAAAATTAGATTTTTGAATATTCTGGAAAAAATGACTATTTTGAAGAATTTGAAATTTTTATTTAATTTAAATTTTTTCGAAAATTTATATTTTTTGGCAAAGCTAATTTCTAATGGTTAAACATCATAAATCTTGATACTGAACTCATAGAAATGTATAGAAAAGATGTTCCTATTATTACTAATATGAAATATTTGATAATTCGAATCGCATATATCTGGTGATCATTTTTGACCACCAAATGGATTTTTTTTTCACTTTTCTGCCCTTTATCTTTCTGCCTTGGCCAATAACTAATCAAATAATCGAATAATTTTTGAATTATTCAAATCGGTTGATTCATGTTCTCGAAATCGTGGGCGAATATTTGTATCCGAACATACAAATTTGGATGACATACATACGTACATACTACATCAATCCATACCAACACACATACATCCATTTTTTTTAAGGTAAGCCGAAATGTTAAAAAACATTCGAAACGTGAAGATACTGAAAAATTTTCATTTTCGATTTTTTGCGATATACATAACTTATCATACGGGAAATAATAATCTATGAAATATAAAGTCATTTCTAATTTACCTAATTAATCTCTATATAATTGGTACTAGGAGTATTAAAATTTAAAATTTTCTCTTAATTGGACTAATCTCTATAGTTCGTCGTAGTAGTTGCATTGAGTACGGAACTTTAGCATTGAGGATGAATATTATTTCTATATAATCTTCAGGCATCGCATCACCATAATTGGCTTAAGCTCGCGAAAATTCTGCTCATGATAATTGAATCTCGACATTGAATTATATCATATTTTGTGTATCCGATTTCCAATTATGCGATATAATAAATAAAGGAAAATGCTTT